ATCTCAACCTGGTGAGCTGAAATTCGGTAAGGATTTTCAGTTTTAAGTGCAGATTACAGGAAAAATATAGCGAACCCAATTGACGGACATATTTGCGAACTAGGAGGGAAAGAAATTCAATTTTTTCGAAAAAATTGCTAAAAATGACCCTGTCCCCCCCCTTAACTTTTACAAATCCCAACCTAGTGAGCTGAAATTCGGTAGGGATCTTCAGTTTTAAGTGTAGATTACAGGAAAAATATAGCGAACTCGATTGACGGACATATTTGCGAACTAGGAGGGAAAGAAATTCAATTTTTTTGAAAAAATTGAAAAAATTACCCTGTCCTCCACCTTTAACTTTTACAAATCTTAACTTGATGAGCTGAAATTCGGTAGGGATCATCAGTTTTAAGTGCAGATTACAGGAAAAATATAGCGAACTCGATTGACGGACATATTTGCGAACTAGGAGGGAAAGAAATTTAATTTTTACGAAAAAATTGCAAAAAATGACACTTTTCTCTCCCCCTTTTGAACTTTTAGGAATCCTAATTTGATGAGCTGAAATTCGGTAGGGATCTTCATTTTTAAGTGAAGATTAAGGTAAAAAAAATATTTTTTTTTGTTATTTGTAAATAAAACATAAGAATTCAATATGGATTATAGTTATAGTTTTTTTTAATCTATATGTAATAAAAATACATATGTGTACCGAATTTCAGCTCAATATGTTTATATATGTTAATATTAATGTGGATTATAGTTATAGTTTTTTAAATCTATATGTAATAAAAATACATATGTGTACCGACTTTCAGCTCAATAGGTTTATATATGTTAATATTAATCAATTATATTTCTTATATATATATTTTTTATAAAAAATGAGTTTTATTTTAGTGTACGGAACCCTCGATCTTAATGCGAGTGCAACTCGCACTTGCCCGATTTTTTTAACTAAACTTCATCTTTAAATCAATTTTTAAAAATAATTTTCCGAAATTTTTACAAATTTTACTTTACTTTGTTTGAAGATATGTACTTAAATCTTAAAAAATTGCAATGAAAAAATTCTAAGAATAACTTAGAAGATTATTTTCATTAATTTTCATTTTTAAATTTACACTTGAAGATTTTTCATTAAAATTTTTGAAAAATTATAATTTTTTCCAAAATTTGTAATTAAAATTCTTCAAACGTTAATTTTTAATACGAATGAACTAATTTTAATTATCGGAGTGAGTAGTAGAGCTATGGGGATCCTGGGCCACTTACCGACGGTCGGTAAGGTAGATTTCTTAATAGCTCACTTTCAAGTGTGTTAGAAGGGGTGTTCTACTTTACCGACCGAGATTTTAGTACCGGCTGCCACCGCTAGATGGCGCCATTTTATTTTTTGCTCAATTTAAACCCCCTTGGTGGGGTATTTAAATTTTTATTTTTGAACTTTCAAGTGGGTTAGGGAGGGTATTTTGAATTTCCCACTCAATTTACCGACATTTTTAGTACCGGCTGCCACCAAGAGATGGCGCCACCGTTAAATTTAAACCCCTTGGCGGGAAATTTATATTTTGAAATTTCAAGTCGCTTGGTGGGGTATTTTGAATTTCCCACTTTACCAACATTTTTATTTTTGGCTGCCACCAAAAGATGGCGCCACTGTTAAATTCTAAATCCTCTTGGTGGGAAATTTAATTATTATTTTCTAATTGATTAGTTTTATTATTTACCGAAGTTTTTTTTAGTATTGTATGCCACTAATAGATGGCATCATGTTTATTTAATACTAATTATTCGAAAATGATGTATTTTGAATCTCGCGGGCAATGCATTTGCATGCTCATCATGCTGAGTTGCGTGAATCCCCGGCTACGCTCTTCACGCAACTGGATGGATATGGTAGTCGAATGTGACTCCCCAGTCTCTCGTAGTAGAGCGCGCAGAGGTGGGAGTGCGGAGTTGCGCGCGACTGTGGAGCAGTGGGGACGCACCGCAGTGGGGTGATGCGCGCGACTCTGGAGTAGTGGGGCACAGCGTAGTGGCGGGGACTGGGGTATAAGTTACGGAGCGCGGGCCACAAGCATCAGTTGCATCTTGAATGGTGCAGCAGACTACTTTCAGGGTTCCAGAGTTCTTAGAATTTTCAGAGTTTTCAAAGTAATTTTCAGAGACAATTTTCAGAGTTTTTTTTTCGTTTTGAATTTAAGAGTTATTGATTTTTTATTATAGGTTTTTTTTATTTTGTGTTCTATTTTGCATTAGTTTTAAGGTGGTGGTGGATTTTTTTTTATTTCAGGGTTTGTTTAGTTTTAAGTGTGTGTTTTTTAGGTTTTGTTTAGTTTTAAGTGTGTTTCTTTAGTTTATTTACAGGATTTTTTTAAATTTAGCATTTAAGATGCCAAAGTGCAGACCACCGAAAAAGTCTCGTCAACGAATTGACATTGATGAGTTTAACGAAGTTTGTCAGGAATCTGACAACTTTATTAAAAGCGCGGAATCTAAGCTCATCAATGTAATGACAATGACTGGTGATGAAAAATGTATTACTGCTTTTGAGTGGCAAAACAAATGCCAAAGATATAAAAACATTTTCAGGAATTTTTTACACAGGTCTGATTTCTCTTCATCCCAAATATCTAGGTGCTTAAATTTAAGTCAAAAATTAGAATATTTGCGTTGCCATTTTGATTTGTTAATGAAACGGGGTGCAGGTTTGCAAGTATCGAATGATAGAATGAAATGGGTTGATATTGAAGCAGCATTTGATGAACGGTTGCAAACTAGTGCTATTATAAATTTAGATTACAAGGACATTAATGAGTTCCTTGATGATGCTTTTGCTTTGTTTCAAATTAATATTCAAAAAGCTTTAAACCGTTATGGTCCGTTAAAAGTGTATACCGTTTTGGGGGGTAAATTTATAAAAGATTCGATTGATGGTAAACAAGAAATGTCTGATCTTAAGACATTTATCGCGAAAACGGCTGAAATTTTTTTAACAACCCCGTTAGACGACTGGTATAATATTAATGTTAAACAGGTAACCTTAAAAAGAATTGAAGTATTCCAAGAAAAAGATTCTAATTGGAGACTTCATTCTATTGAAAGGTTAACAGTTAACATTAACAGTTACAATCCTATGAGCGCAAGTTCTTATATTAATTTACCAGCTGTCATTAACTTAAGACATGCCTGCGTGAATGTACAAAATGCTGATCAACAATGTTTTAAATGGTCAGTTTTGTCTGCTCTTCATCCAATTGAAAACCATGCACATCGAGTTTCTAAGTATGAGATGTATAAAGATGAACTCAATTTTAGAAAGTTAATTTATTTTATCACTTTGCATATAACATTGCAACATTTGAACAATATTTTTTTAAATTTTGATTTAAAAATATTAAAAATTGAGCGAGATAATGAGATTTTTCTCAGCCGCGTCAAAAAAAAATGATTTGCGGTGTACACTCTAACTCGCAACAGAATCATCCAAAACAAAAAAATCAAAATGCATTTGTTAAAGGAGATGTTTTTTGAGGTATTATCGGAAGGGATTTTGTTGTTTTTTTACTTTTCGATTTTCCGTAGCACTTAAAAGCCAAAAAGTCGATTTTCACTGTAAAAAATCGATTAATTTGTTATTGTAAAATTGGTAATTTTTTAATAAAAAAATAATGGCTTCCTAAGTTACCTCAAAAAACATCTCCTTTAACAAATGCACTTTGATTTTTTTGTTTTGGATGATTCTGTTGCGAGTTAGAGTGAACACCGCAAATTTTTTGAGGCGCCTGAGGAAAATGTTAGAATCTTGCTCAGTTCTTAATATTTTTAAATTAAAATTTAGAAAAATATTGTTCAAATGTTGCAGTATTATATGCAAAGCGATAAAATAAATTAACTTTCTGCGTATCACCAAAAAAAATTCTTAAAAACATGCGTTTTTTCACCGAATTAACTATACCCCCCCCCCTTAAAGATGTTCCAAAATTTGAATCTCTAAATCAAAATATTTCAGTAAACGTATACGGACTCTCAAAAAATGATGAAAAATTCAATGTTTACCCATTACATCTCACATCACAGAAAAAACAGCAGCATATTAATCTCTTGCGTGTTGAAGATCATTACATTGATGAAAGCCTAAGTGAAGAAGAAGACGATCTAACAATCCTTTCTTTTAACTATCACTATGTTTGGATCAAAGACTTATCCAAGCTCGTTGCATCCCAATTGTCAAAGCATAGGTCTAAAAAATACATTTGCGATCGTTGCCTCCATTATTTTGGAAGTGATTTGATGCTTACCGAACACGAAGAAAATTGTAGGAAGATGAACGATACCAGAATTAGGCTGCCGAATCCTGGGAAAAATTTTGTCGAGTTTAAAAATTTTGATAACAAGGAGCGCGTACCTTTTATCATTTACGCGGATTGTGAGAGTCTTTTAATTCCTGCAGATTCACCTCAAGAAGAATCCAATACTGTCGTGATTCAAAATCATAAAACACTCAGTATTGGATTTTATGTAAAATGCGGCTTTGATGACTCTTTGTCTATATACAAAGCATCTCCTCGAGATGAGGAAGATCCTGCTAAATGGTTTTCAAAAGAGCTTAAAGACTTGGCTGACAATTTAGACATTAGATTTCAGAATCCTGGACCTATGGAAGTATTAAGTTTACAACAGCTGACTGATTTTAGATATGCAAGTACATGTCATATTTGTAAAAAGAAATTTGCTCATAGTGATATTAAAGTACGAGACCATTGTCATCTAACCGGGAAGTATCGGGGCCCTGCACATCAAGATTGTAATATTAATTATCATGAATCGTCGACCATACCTGTTGTATTTCATAACCTTAGTGGTTACGATGCTCATTTTATCATCAAAGCTATTGCTACCGAGTTTGACGGTAAATTGATCTTCTTCCCATTAATAAAGAAAAGTACATCAGTTTTACAAAGAATATAAAGGGTAGTTCAATCAAATTTCGTTTTATCGACTCTTTTAAGTTTATGGCATCATCATTGGACAAGTTAGCTTCTTATCTCGATGAATATAAAATTGTAAATTTCGTATTTTCAAATTACAGCGACGACAAAATTAAATTGTTAACGAGAAAAGGAGTTTTTCCTTATGAATACATTGACTCTAGGGAAAAGCTCGACGAAACAGAATTACCACCTAAAGAAAAATTTTACAGCACTTTGAACGATTCAAATGTTTCAGATGAAGATTACGCACATGCGCAGAAAGTGTGGAGTGAGTTTAATTGTCAGAATCTAGGTGATTATGTGTTCTTGTACATGAAAACGGATATTTTGTTACTCGCGGACATTTTTGAAAATTTCAGGGATCAGTGTTTATTAGCATACGGTTTAGATGCAGCACACTATTATACTACACCGGGTTTGACTTGGGACGCAATGTTAAAGTATACGGAAGTAAGACTTGAACTCTTGACAGACATTGACATGGTAATGTTTATTGAACGCGGGATAAGAGGTGGGATTAGTCAGTGCACTAATCGTTACGCTAAAGCTAACAATCATTACATGGAAAAATATGATGAGAATGAGGAAACATCTTATATCGTATACTTTGACGCAAACAACTTGTACGGTTGGGCAATGATTCAACCGCTTCCGTATGGTGGCTTCGGGTGGGTTGAAAATATTGACAATGATTTTGATTTTAACATTTCAGATGATGGACCAATTGGGTACATCTTGGAAGTTGACCTGGACTATCCAGATCATCTTCATGATAAACATAGCAATTTTCCATTTTGCCCTGAACGCTCGAAGCCACCAGGGTCAAAAGAGGAGAAGCTCCTAACTACCCTCCTACCGAAACGAAAGCACGTTCTCCATTATCGCGCTTTAAAACAAGCTATTGACAACGGTTTAGTTTTAGTTAAAATCCATCGCGTCTTAAAATTCAAGCAATCTACTTGGCTAAAGAGTTATATTGACTTTAATACCTTGAAGAGAACAAATGCTAGTAACGAATTCGAGAAAAACTTATTCAAACTAATGAATAACGCGGTATTTGGAAAAACAATGGAGAACGTGCGAAAACATGTAGATGTTAAACTCGTGACAAAGTGGGAGGGTAGATATGGAGCTGAAGCACTTATCTCCAAACCTAATTTTCACAGGAGAGCCATTTTTAATGAGAATTTAGTTGCTGTTGAACTTAGGAAAATGGAAGTTTTGATGAACAAACCTTTGTATGTTGGCTTGACTGTTTTGGATGTGTCAAAAACGCTTATTTATGATTTTCACTACGATTACATGTTGAACAAGTATGATGAAAAAAATTTAAAATTATTGTACACCGACACCGATAGCCTGATTTATGAAATAATGTGCTCCGACATTTACACTGATATGAAACAAGATATTCATAAATTCGACACTTCTGATTACGCAGCAAATAATATTTACGGTATTCCGCAAGCCAACAAAAAAATATTAGGTTTGATAAAGGATGAATGCTGTGGAAAAATTGTGACTGAATTTGTTGGCTTGCGGAGCAAAATGTACAGCGTTCGCGTAGAAGAGAAAGATTTAATAAAAAAGGCTAAAGGTGTTAAAGCTGGAGTTGTAAAAAAAGATATTAGTTTTGAAGATTATGTGTACTGTCTGCGAAATGTTAAAATTCAATCCAGGACGCAATATTGTATTCAGTCAAAACTGCATAATGTACAAACATTAAAGCAAACGAAAATTGCCCTCAGTCCTTATGACGATAAGAGGTATCTTTTAGACAACAGCACCGACACCCTTGCATGGGGACACTATAAAATTCTAGAAATCGACGATGATGAACCAATGTAAATAGAAAAAAAATTATTTGTTACAGAGAGGAGGAGGATATGGTTGTTTGAATAAAAGATGTTCACTTTATTTTATGTCTACTTTATTTTAAAAAAACCTTAATCTAGTTACATTAACTTGTTATAACTTTAAACTATATTTTAACTTTTTTTAACTTAACCTTAACTTATTTTAACTTATTTTAACTTTACTTTAACTTATTTTAACTTTACTTTAACTTATTTTAACGTTACTTTAACATTCGTTTAACATTACTTTAACTATACTTTAACGTTACTTTAACTATACTTTAACTATATTACATATCAGATTTTTTTATCCAACTATTGTGTGAGCTATCGAATCCAAGCCATTTCACGTATACATCATTACCACGAGTCTTGAGAACTTTCTCTACAAGGTAAACATCTGGATATTGGACTTTCAGCAACTCTTCTTCGTAGAAACCACCTTCGATGGGTTGATTTTGGTAATCTTTCAGCTTGTATGTAACTGGTTTTGTTGATTTAACTTTATCGACGGTGAATATATTTTCGTTGTCCAGTTGGGAGTATATCCTTTTTCAAAAACATTTTTAAACTTGCTAACTCGAACTCTATCTCCAACTTTGAATTTTGATCTTTTCAGCGGAATTCTACGTAGTTTACGGATACGTCTCAGCAGTTCTCTTGTACCTTCTACGGTGACATCTTTGGGTTTCATACCAATAGTACGATGCTTTTTATTATTGTACTTTGTCATGAGAGTTGGTAAAAGATTAATCCATTTATAATTGCCTTGCAAGCTGAATTCAGGCCACATCATATTTTTTAGAGTGCGGTTAAATCTTTCAACAATTGAGGCTTTCAAATTACTATAGGTAGAATAGAGATTAATGTTAAATTCTTGCATTAAACTCTTAAATTCAGAATTGTAAAATTCTTTGCCTCTATCAGTGTGCAAATTTTTTGGAATTCGACCTTGTTTGAGAATAGTTTTCATGGCCAAAGAAATATCCTTTCCATTCTTACTCTTTACAGCTACAGCCCAGGCATATTTGGAAAATATGTCTATAACTGTGAGCATGTATTTGAAACCTTTATTAGAATAAGAATAAGGTATCATTTCAACCAAATCTGCTTGCCAGGTTTCATCTATACCACGCATTTGAACTTTTCGACGAGGATAATTTCTTCTAGCTTGTTTATGCAGTTCAGATACAACTGTTAATTTTTTATCATCCATCACTGTTGAATAAATTTAGCCTCTTTGATAATGTAATTTTGCTGTGATTCAATTTCTTTAAGTTTTTCGTTTACTCTATCCTCGATAATTCGAATATAAAGATTTAAATCATCAATAGCTGATCGTAAAGAAGATGTAATTTGAAAAACTGTTTTTATCTCGTTTTTAATAATTTTCTGTGCAAGTCTTAAATTTACAGCGTCTCGTTGCTCTTCAGCGTCTTGAACGTTGCAAAGTCTTTTGTTATCAATGTCGTATTGTTCACTTGGAGTAATTTTAAAACCAATTCCAGAAGGTCCAGGAAGTCCACGTCTTGCAAGAGGCCGTGACAAGGGATGTCCAAACACATCAATGCTCATTTTAATACTAAGCTCTATTTGCTTGTACTTTCCTAATATATAATGCGAGCTTCACGTAGTTCTTCGATGATTGACATAATTTCATTATTATGGCTTGGATTACCAGCTTGCTGTGATGCTACTAGCAGACGTAAACGGTCAACTAGTTCATTTGGATTATCCCAATAGATGTAGTCTGGGTTAAATTGTTTCTTTGAAATCATAAATTGAGGTAATTTCTTTCCAAGCTTCTTCTTCTTCTTCTTCAAAACACCACTACCCTTTTTTGGCGTACCCTTAAAAAGTTTTGAAATGACAACAGTGTATTTAGAACTCCTGGTTACGTTGACAAGTCCACTGGAACTATAATTTTTTTGGTGTGCATTTGTAGCTACAAGAATTTCTTTATAATTTTCCAAATCATCTGAACTTATTAATGCAGGATTAGGTTCTTGTCGAAATAAAAGTTCAAGCAACCCAGCAGTTTTTAAATATTTTTTCTTTCCAGCAAGTTGAATATGTGAACCTTCTAAATCAACTGGTGTATCACCAATAATAAAAGAACCATTAGGAAGCTTACGTACTCCATAAACCATATCTAAAAAACTTTTCCTATTTTTATTCAATAATTGAATAAACTTATTTGTCAAATTTTCATAATTAAGTTCTTCTCCTTCTTCTTCAAAGTTGTTGCTCTTATCAAGTAGAGTGTCATTGTGTAGTGTTTTATCAAATTCCTCTTCCTCATCAACAGCAGTTGAGAAAGAAAAATCATTTTCCTCCTTTTTAACTTTTTCTTTTTTAATATTTTTGAAAGGTATGTCAGTTATCTTCACCAACTTTTCCAGAGGTGTTACTATTGGTTGAAAAGTTTCTTTCAATACTGTTTCTGCAGCCTCTTTACCCATTTTGAGTAAACGATGTTTCCGCCTAATAGCATCACTTGCTTTTGCTATTTGACGAAGCGTTTCTTGCTCTTTTCGATACATGTTTTCTTCGAGACAATATAAACTATACTAATTAAAAATTCAATGAACTTCTTGTATTTATAGTGAAATGAAGCAATCAAATCCTCTTCTATATCTTCCTTCATTAAAATTACGGTCCTTATCAATAACAACAAATCCATATTTGTCAGATTTCCAACATTCTGAACATAAATCGCGAAATTGAGTATAACTCATATCTGTATTAACATGATCTTCGTATGCATGTTTCAGATTCTTTTCATCTTGTCTAAATAGAACCAATAAATTAACATTATCTCGAACTAGATGTTTAGGAATACGAGCATACGTTTGACATAAATAGAAACTGTCAACATTACATGTCTGCCCATACAAAAGAAAGCTCTAACATTATCTTGCTTTTCACAAGCAATGTCATCAAAAACGAATATTGAATTTGCTTTAGCATCTTTTGGAGATACTACTTCTTCATGTTCACTAATGGAAAATACTCCACACCATCTACCTGACTGATTACATTTTCTAAAAATTTATATTTCGGTTGCTGTAGAGATTTAGAGTAGAGGTAATATTTTCAAAACTTAGACCATTTGGATGTATTATTAGGGGAAAGAAGAGCATTTGTTTTACCACAATTTGAGGGGCCCAGAAAACTGCTCGAATGCTATCTGAAAACAGACTACCGTGACGTTTAATCTTTTTTTCAATAGTTTTCAACATCTATACTAGAGATTGGCAGTGCGACAGGTGTTTCGTGAACTGCATCTGACAGTAACTGCTCAAAAATCTATAATACCTAGCTTTTATAGTCAATTTGTCAGTTTCACGTCAACCATTGTAGAGTGAAGTATGATTCTGCATCAGGAGGTGAAAAAAGGTCGCTATCAAGGAAAAGGTTTAATCAATCGTATCATTAATAGTTTACCGTTTGAGTTACATTTACCAGGATACCAATTCTGTGGGCCTGGTACAAAGTTGGCTAAGCGTTTGTCACGAGGTGACCAAGGAATTAATCCACTGGACGCTGCATGTAAACAACACGACATTGCTTATTCGCAAATCGTGAAAATATTCAGGCTAGAAACGAAGCAGATAAGTATTAGCTAAGAGAGCTTGGGAACGTGTACAGCTAAAGATTCTGGTGTAAGTGAAGAGCAGCTGCTTTAGCTATATCCGGCACCCAAGCTAAATCAAAGTTAGCATGGGATGAGAAGAAAAAAAAATCATCTATAAAGAAGAAGAGTACAACAATGTGTAAGAAGAAGCAATAGCGCTAAGAAAATTGTTGATGCTGCGAAAAAGTATGGCTCCTGTAATAATGCTGAAGAATCATTCGAGCAGCTATAGTTTGTGCACGAAAAGCAATAAAAATGTTGGTGGTAAATCCAAAATTTTATCACCTAGAATTTTCCTGTACCTACTACAGTAGGTGGAATTTTACCGCTAGTTCCAATTTTTTGCTCGTGACTTAGTGCTTTAGTGACACTTGCTAGCGCTGGAGCTTCAGGAATAGCAAGGGCTGTTAATAAGGCTAAAACAGCTAGCGAACAACTACAACTTGCAGAAGCTCAACGTCACAATAGATCCATGGAAACATATCGCTTGGAAAAGTATACACCTTAAACCTTATCGACAAGGACTTGGTCTCCACTTAAAACCCTACATTCAAGGAAAGGAATTAAAAAACGAGCATCAAAAAAAAGAAGCAAACAACAAGAATCAAAAAAAAACTTGTTTTGAGCTACCTCACCGTCCATTAACTGATTTTGAGTTTGTTAAGTATGCACAAGTCTGCCAAAAATACCTCATTTTCGTGGATTTTGTATGCGAAATGACTACCTGTAAGGTGGTCCTTACAAGTAGACCAGGAATAATTAATCTTGATAATAAAGAAGGTGCTGGAACACATTGGGTAGCATATAAAAATTCAAAAACGAAACAATGTATTTTGATAGTTTTGGCAACCTGCTGCTCCACCAAGATCTTGTCATTTACTTGGGTGATGGTATCTTAATAAAAATAGCTCATAAACTATCAAAATTTATGATACATTTGTATGTGCACACTTGTGTCTCAAATTTTTGGGGAATCACTAAATATTAAGAGTTGGTTTAACCTT